ACAGCAAGAACGAAAAACATAGTGACGTGGCGTTTTCTCTTCTATGACTCATTATTTGTAAGATTCATGTATGGCTGTTATTTTTTCCTGCTCTGTTCTGTTACCATTGGTAATGAAATGCTGAAGCGCATGTTGTTCATACAAAAATATCACGAGGAATTATGAAGTTTGACACGACACGTGTGTTTTAAGTTCAAAGTTCATTTGTACGCAATTAAAATGACACAAGATTTATTCATCGTCTTATTCATGTAAGTTTATGTATGTACGCACATTGTTGTTTTTGCTTGAAAGTAGGTGAAAATTGAGTCGTCTAGTATATAAACGTAATCTTATTCGATTTCATTCATTCAAATAAAACAGAATGACTGCAACACAAAATGAAATTCAACTTTTGACTGAATGTTGTATATGTTGCGACTATTTAACTGATGTTCGTGAAACTCCCTGTTGTCATCAACTATTCTGTCTTTCTTGCATTCAATCATGGCTTAGACAATCTGTTCAAAATTGTCCTCGATGTCGTTCATCGACATTGACTGAACAAACATTAACAAAAAATGTTGTTATTCAACGTTTTGTCGACAATCTTCAATTCGATTGCCCACATAAATTACAAGGCTGTCCAGCTAAAGTACCTCGAAGTGAATTGACTGAACACAAACGATCGTGTCAATATTCACCGGATACATTAACACATCAACGACAACAGAAATTATCGCAATTGCGACTTAAATTACGACAATACAATAATTCGAAGAAAAGTACAAACAATAATGCATTATATGACTTAGCTAAAGCATTTTATGACGAACATGTATATGATGAAGCACGACAATGTTTAAAAATGATTAAGAATGCACAAAATACACTCGATATTATTATTCTCAATGCCCAGATCGAACAAGACGATGGTCAATATGACAAAGCATTAGAATTTTATACACGTGCTTATTCGAAGACAAAGTCAACACCTCAACGTATCGAGCTACTTTTGTCTACAGGACATATTTATCTAAAAAAGGCAAAATATACAGAAGCTAAGGATGCATTTATTCGAGCACTTGATCTGCTACCAAATAATGATCAATCACAAAAGAAAGCTGAAATTTTCAATGGTATTGGACTTGTTGCCAAGAAATGTTCCGATGTATGTTCATTAGATTTTTGTCGTCTTTTTCTATATTTTATTTTGAATTCAAGTATGATCAAGCTATTTCAGCTTATAACAAAGCACTTGAAATAGTTGATACAAATTCAAGTCTTTGGTCCGAAATTGCTACTAATCTAGCAGGTAATATCACATTTTATTTTAGAATTATTCATAAAAATTTTTTCCGAATTGAAATTCAGATATATTTCGAAAAAAAGGCAACTATAATGAATCTCATGAACTTTATTTAAAAGCACTTAAACAACTAGAATCAGTACATGGTCAAAATCATCCATTAGTTGCCGATGTTATGAATAATTTGGGCATTCTTCTGAAGAAAGAAGGCAAGTATATTGAAGCATTGGATTATCTCAAACAAGCTTTGAGAATATCTAAACATTATTATGGTGATAAACATGCGTCTATTGGAATGTATTTGGGAAATATTGGTGACATTTATCGAAAGGTAAATATTGACAAAGAATGATCAAAATAAATCAAATAGTTGGATTGTGAGTCTTTCAAAAGAAAAACAAGGAATTTCTAAAAACTATAGAACAGAATTCAAGATAAATTTGTCTTTGAAGTTATTTTTCGATCGTAACATTTTGAAAATAACCAAGACTGATAATCATTGAGAGACTGGCTATCAGTTGATTTTGGGCTTACTCGTCTTTTTTGCATCGATCTTGATTCCAGTCTAGCTGATATATCAAATAGGTCATTTTGAGAATCATTAATCTTGAGTATTTAAGTATCTTAAGAAAAGTTGTTTCATCGCTCGTTATGGTTTTTCTTTAGTTAGCAATGCACAATTTTGTACTAATTACCTTTAATTTTTCATAAATTGACGATGGTAGAAGATGCAAGTTACATGCGTGATAAACAAGAGTTTTTAATAAGTTAAAGGTGATCGTTTTCATCCATGAGAGAGAAAACATCAATGAGGGTGTGAGTGTGGTTGTAAGTCGAAAAATCCCGCTACCCACATCCACATACCCATACCTACACTCCAATAGATATAGACAATCAATTGAATTTGTCAATGATATTCCTAATCCCTTTGCATTATCTTTCAGTTGTTATTGAAATACTTTTGTGAATGAATATAGACACTAAAATGTTAATGAGAAACATATTTACACAATTATTGAAACTCTTAGTTCCATAAAAAAAAAAGGAAAAAAGCATTTAGAAAACTCACTAATTTAATCGATCTTCTCCTGGCCAGTGTAAAGAAGAAAGTTGACCTTTGCAGTACTCTTTTATTTTATAGCGAGGTGATTACAAAACAGCAGAAGCCACATATAAGGAAGCACTGGCAGCATTGGAACAATCATTAGGGCCAAATCATATTGAAGTAGCCGAAGTACTTAATTCAATGGGTCTCGTATTAAAGAAAAGAGCTGACTATGATGGAGCAAAAGTACTCTATACACGAGCAATTAAAATTGTCCACGATACGTTTGGTCGCGATCAAGAACATTATAAATTGGGTATCTACTACAATAATCTAGCAGATCTTGATCGAAAAAGAAACAATTTTGAAGATGCTCTTCACCTCTATCAACGAGCTTTAACAGCAATCGAAAACACACTCGGTCCTGAACATTCAGAAGCAGCCGAAATCCTACACAATATTGGACAAGTTCAACATCAACTCGGTTAGTTACGAGCGAGTGAGAGAAACAAAGCAATATTTGAGACTTGCATGTTATTCTGTTTTTATTAGGTAACTTTGAACAAGCTATCATTCATATTGATCGAGCACTTGCCATTATCAAAAAAGAATTCAACGATCGACATCATAAATATGGGATTTTTCTTAATTCTCTTGGTCTTGCTTATGCAATGATGAATGATTACAATACGGCATATGTACATGTTAAACAGGCTCTACAAATTTTGTTGACTGCATTAGGTGTTGATCATATTGAAGTTTGTGATGTCTATTCAAATTTAGGCGATATTTGCATGAAAATAGTGGCCGAAATGGATAGTAAACCGAAAAATGAACAAAAAAACCAAGAACCAAATGAAAAACAAGTTAAGCTAGATGAAGCAAGGAAATACTATTCGGAAGCTCAACGAATTGTTCAAAAAACTTTCGGTGCTGATCACACAAAAGCAAAACAATATCTTTCCCTTTTATATATTGTTGATAATTACCAAGCTTTATAATGTAAAGTAAAATTCATCAAATATCGATTTAGTTTATTCTAGACTGAAAAACATAAATACTATTATTAAAATTACATAACTTTAGAGTATCTAATAATATTCAAGCAAAAATTTTCTTAGAAAACATTGTGGCACAAGAAAAGATAGGAAAATCTACTTCTAATACGTTTCCATTATAGCTTATGAAATGAATAAGTCATTTAACATAATACTGGAAATGTAAATTACTCTAAAAAAATATTTTCGATGATGTCATTTAGTAATGGATTTAGTAATTAGATAAGTAGAGGAATGTGCAGAAAGAAACTTCCAGATAAAAGTAAACAAGTACGTGTATCGATATTTTAGTGTCTTCACACAGGCTGATTTTTGTTTTTATATGTATCATGATGAAATCTATAACATATCAGACGAGTTGTTCGTGTTGCGGAATTAGTTGAACTAAGGTGGATTTATATAATACAGTAATGATGAAGAGTAAACATCAACCTGCTACATCTTTAAATAAACAATGAACACCAATTTGACCTTTGGTCAAGTCAACAGTGCAAATGTTTGAAGAAACTTCGTAAAAAGAAAGACTTGGTTCCACCGCAGATTTCCGTCGATGATAAACGTTGATAGAGTTGACATTCAAAATGAAATGCTTCGATCACACTTAAAGACCATTGATTGAAAAATGTGTCACTATCGAGAATGTATCAGATAACATAAAAGATTTTTATCAATGATGGTAATGGATGTGAGGCGTATTGTTTGACAGTAGATTCAATCAACTTTACTGATGGACTTGGTTCAACTAGAACAGAGTCAATACTAACATCAATATCTTTTACCTTGAGTATGTCTACATCGATCTGATTCGTCTCACATGTATCGAACATATGAGATGAACGATACAAAATATCAGACCATTTGTAACTGTAGAATGAAATGACAAACGAAGAAAGAAAAATATGCCGCTTACTCTATATTTCAGAACAGAGAAAACAAGAACACAAATACTACGATGCTGCTGTTATATAAACTATTTCAGCAACATACATGTTAACAAATCAAAATATTTTCCTTCCAATATGTTACATAGTTGACTTACTACTTCATCAATGACTAGCAAAGACAAAGATATTGCTATTTAAGAAAAGACTGATAAAACGCGAGGCTAGTTGTATATGAAATAGCTGCTTCATTTATAACACTAATTTCTATTTCTTATTCTCCCTTTGTTATTTTGACGTTCATTTGGACCAGTTAAAAGGAACTTATTGAAGATTGATGTGTGCAAATTCAACCTGATAGATTCGAATTAATAGCGATGAGATCATTTATTTTATTTACGAGATCGATTACACAGTTTTCACGATGGATCTTTTTCTTGAGGAAAACAGTAACGATGTTCAATTGTTCTATGAATTAACACAACTTCAATATAGGTTACTCGTAAATTGGAATCTTTGGTTCATTTAAGCTCAATACGAACACTTGTGGACGATGGTATGGATGTGAGAGTACAGAAGACCTACATCCTCAGCTACACATCCACTCTCACTATCTTCAATTGTTTATCTGCTTCCTAAAATACTATGATGTTGACAGCTTTAGTCATACTAGAACCATAATATTGAGTAGCAGTTTTTGCGCTTACTGCTTATTCTTTCAATCTTTTTTACATGTTTTCTGTCATTCGTACTAACATCTCAATCAGTTGAGCAATTTTATCATTTATTTCTACTGCAACTTGAACAGCATGCAAGGTTTTAACTTTTGGATCGATTTGTTGAATGAATGATTTATCATTTATGAACGTTACTGACAGTTTACCAGTAACTATTAGTGATTCTCCATCAACCTCACCAGGACGATTGTATTTCAACTGATAGTCTAAAATATCAACTTCTGTACCTTCAGACACAGCTCCAGAAACTCGAAAATCACATAGAACAACACGAAGGTTATTGACATGAAGTTCGCCAAAATTTGCATCAGGTGCATTACTTTCATAATCCCATATTTTTGTTATGATTGCATTATTGCAGCCACGGGCAATAAGTTGAGCTTGTGTTCCACAAATATCAAAAACACTTTGAAATGCTCTTGTCATTAATGTTACGATAATTTCGGCCGATTCAAGAAAAAAGAATTGATCACATTTTTTGATAGCATTCATGATTTCTTCTTGTGTTCTTAATCCAATATTAGCTAATCCATCGGTTAATACGAACATATGTTTGGAATATCCAGGATATGAATATTTTTCAAGAAGATTGGTACTCATTTCAATAGCATCAGAGAAAATAAGTTTGAGCGCCAGTCTTAATTCCATCAACAACCGAATAAAGAACTTGACGAGCTGATGCACGTGTATTTTCAAAGACATTTCAGATAGCGTCGTTATAAGCAACTAAATGTACAATATCGTCATAATGTAACAAATTAAGTACGGATACAACAATTTTTTTCGCAAATCCCAATTTATTATTTTGATGCCATGGAACCACTACGGTCAAGTACCAAAACTAGATTGATTGAATTTCGTTTGGTTGTTTCAGTGTTTTCTTTGTTTTTCTTTGTTTCAATCTCTAATCGAGCTCTTTTATTATTCACTATACTTATTATTGCTTGAGGATTATCCGGAATACAACGAATATTAATGGAAGCCGTCTTATCAGTATTCATTCTTTTTTATTGTTGTCGTTCAATCTATAATACTAAAATAATCAATAAAAAGAATCGTTTTCAATGTACTCTTATGCTGAACAAGTCTAGAGAAAGTTCGACATACCCCTATTCGGAAAGGGCCGATTTTTCGACTTGTAGGCACTTTTGCCCCTTAGCATTTCCTCTACTCAACATAATAGTTATTCAAATAGAATGTATCTTTAACCTACACAGTACTCTATGTCATGAGATGTCTCTGAACTCAAGCAGTGAACTTGCTGATGATATAATGCTAAGATATTGAGCCCACCCATTTTTAGTGATTTTTCAGATTCAAAACTAAATGACCTTATATTTTGGATTTCACTACGGTTCAATCAAACTTTTCATTTAAGAAAACAATAACAAAAAAAGTTTTTCTCCAAGATTAGTTCCGAAACCTAGAGTCTAGGATGGAATGATTTCTTTGCACTTTTAGCGACGAGCATAGATAGTTCATGTAGAAATTTGGTCAAATTATTTTCTTTTGGTTTATAACAACCGATTAATGTTTCAATCTGTATTTGGATGATGCAATTTTTATTGTCCAATTATTTTTAATTATTGACGAAATGAAAGTTTCGCTCGATTTAACTATTTAAATAGATGTTGGACGTTTAGATGAGATTTCTAAGTTTCATGTTTCAAGTTTTTAAGTATATAAACATATTTAGAATAAATGAGTAGAGCTTTGTGACGATTCGAAGTAATAAAAGAAAGAACTATTGAATCATTTATATTTGATTATTTGAATGGATTTTTTTTTAACATTGATATTTATTGTGCCATATAATAAGTTGGTTCACAAGTAAAAAGAAAGATAAGAAGAAAGAGAGAAGTGGCAGTTTAAGAACAGTACAGAGAAAGAAGAAAAGAGTATATAAATATGCAAATAGTTTTACGTTAACGCATGAAGGAAAAAAGAACACCGACGTTTAACATCGTCAGGGAGGACAAGAAAGTAAACAGATTGAGGAAGAATGTGATTTAAAGTCAAGGGAGAGAGATTCATCAATCTTTCACGCTGGGGTAAGGAAAAACTTGAGTACGAAGCTGAACAGGTGAGTGTTGGACTTCGTGAAACAGTTATATTGATTGACATGGGCGTTTTCAAACTCAATCCAATCGATAATGCAGTGCCTCACTTGCTCGCAAAATTTACGGGGAAAGATACTGTTAGATTTAAAGTCCATGGATTTGAGCCACTCCCTCCGAGGGGAGGTTATGATCAAGTATGCAGACCATGTTTGCTGGAAAGCAGCAGTTTCGTCGGCAGTTAACATGTGTATTATCAAGCGGCGCCAATACTTAAAGAGGTAGTCATAAATTGACTTCTCTCTAGAGAGTATTAACGTCGTAAAATCGTCCCACTGTGAGAGAGAGAGAATACTATACGAAGTCCTGTACAGTACATGTGCGCTATTCTTTCTTTCTGTCTTTCTGTGAAGAAGAACCAAATACAGAATAACCATAGGAAGTGCGGGAGGGCATAGGATATGAAGATTTTTCTTCGTATTTTAATATCTTTTTTTGTAATGGTTCTAAAGATCATTCGCATCGCACAATATACCTGACTGATACTCTTCATTCTTATTATTTGAATGGATAAAATGAATACTGTGCATGCATTAGACCACGTACTATTGCGTATATTAGAATATATCTAAAAGAAAAGAAAAGAATAGAACCAATCAGCAATTATGCATAAACCATAGAAGTTCATCAGGAAAAAAATATCGCTACAATACCTTCCGCAATGTTAATTTCGGCTAAACAAACAGCATGTTAACTGATATCAGTAAAATGAAAATTGACGTAGTTTGAATCAATGGTAACGACTGTTTTGCCTTTTATTAATATTTATCTTGCATTTTTTTTTCTTGGTCCTTCTCTGTTGTTCGTTACATAAAATTGATTTTTCAGTCTTTGGCCTTCTTCAATGGCACTTGTAATTTGAAATACCTGACCATAACGGATTTTTCTTTCCATTATACAGTAACCGTGGCAAATTATCCGAATTGTAGATGATGAAGATCCTTTGACTTTATTTAGATACTTTGAAAGATGGTTTATTACCATTGAAAACGTTTTTAGGGAAATCTATATGTTCACATTAATTCACAGAATACATGACATTTCTAATTTATTGTTACTTCGAACATCGTCGATGAAATCTATATGATTGCTTTGTACAACAGTATCTACATTCATGTTATCAACGTTCAGTTCATCTTCATTAGAAGCAGCTTTTCTTGCGTTGAAATGAGAAATATTTCGCATGAGTTTTTATAATATTTGCATCTTAACAATAATATGATTTACGCATATAACTTCATTAGAGTGAGTTTTTCTTTCGATAAATCCAGTTTTTTGAATGAAAAATAAGCAACTAACTTCCCTGGAATGATATACACCATCGATACTTATAGAGTATGAATTCAATTATGCAGATATAGTAGTGTACATAGAAAGAATATCTAGATCATTGCTTCCATACTCTCGAATAGGCCAAACGCTTATTTTCCGATAAATAAAGCTCCTTTCACTGTCGTGAACTCCCGTCAAAGTTTCTTTGTTGTTTACTTCACACGAATTCTGCTTGCAAAGATTAATCTACTACGTAGTTTTAATAAAAATTATCGACGTCACATTTCCATTTCAAATAACAGATTTTGATTTATTCACTGTTAGGCTTATATCAAAATCAGCTTCATCAACAATAATTTACCTCGACATTTCATTGTTCAATTGTCGCAGAAAACATATCGCCATTGTAAAACTAATTCTTTTTTAGCAATGGTAATTAATAACAATCTTTTGATACAGAATAATTTTCGTCTTTGTTTAAATAGATAGTCCTTTGATTTGATTAGTTTGAAAAACTCGTTATTTGCGTTGTTTTCGATTCTGACGGCAAACGAAAAAAAACACAGAATTTTCGAAATTATTTTTCAGAGATGATCAAGTGAACTCTTCGACTATTTTGATTTTTAAAGCATTCTCTGTCTTTTGTATACAATGAATCAGGATTCTTTTTGAAATTTCCGATCGAATTCTTCTTGTGCATATAAAACATTTTCGATTGTAAGAAATCTGTATACCTTTTGTACCCATAGATATATAAAACTTAGAAAATTTTGGGATGAAATTGAAGTCTTCTTCCTTATCGAAGACATTGCACAAAAAGCATGAATACCGTTGTTGGTTACTCTGGACAACGGTGTTTCACGACTCGCTCACATGAAACCAATGTAGACAATTATTATAGAAATATAACAAAAAACATCAATTTTTAATCGATTATGATACAAAAATAACCAAACATATCCGAATTTTATCGACCCTTCTGATTATTTTCGATGAAAGCCGATTTAAAATGTTGCAAAAAAACCACTTTAAATCAATATCGTCTGACTATAAACGATTTCTTTATGATTATGAAATCGATTTTAATCGATTAACGATGCATGTTTTTAACCGAATTCGAATTGACTTTTCACATCAATGATTTTTGCATGGAAACCATCCAAAAACATTGTAATATGATTATCAGTATCTGCTGACTCCGTATCACTTTACCTGAGTATTGACTTAGGATTTCTGTTCATTGGATGTTGAAAGAAACGACTGTTGACAGTCAATAGAATATACTATTCGCTAGTTACGTATTGAATACTTTTCTGCACAAAACAAAACGGTCGTAAAAGCGTTTCTCGTGCAAGGACATTATTTTGTGCAGAAAAGCAAAGAGAAAGTATGTGTATCAATCAACTTTCTTCTTTCAGTGTGGCAATAAATGATGCAATAAAAAAGAGACGTTTTATTCTTGTTTGAAGACAAGAAGAAGATTAAAGATCTTCTGAAACTCAATTGCGGTGATTAATGCAATTTATGTGACACTTCGCAAACAAAAAGCCCATAAGTATGTTCGATATCTCGATTCACTCGTATTGCATTTATGCAAGAAAAGATAAATAGATCGACCAAAATGATATATTATGATGTAAGCAAGTATCGAAAATACTCAAGAACACATTTCTTTTTAAAAAGATAGTGACAATAGAAATATGCTTTGTTGATATTAGAAAGAGAAAGATGCATCCACTCGTTGCCAAGCTAGATTAAGTGAAGTAGTCATCAGATTTTCGTCAGAATTCCCATTAAGAACGATAAAACTGTAGACGAATTTTTGTTGCCGTTAGCTAAATCTGCACGGAAAAATAAAAAAATGGATCAAGAACACAACTTTAGATGCTGATTTTCTGTGTGATACAGCAGTTTCCATCGATCAAAAATTCTAATCACATTGATTTTTTCTATCATTGAAAAGTTCTGATTGATACTATATCTTGTAAATATTTGTTGAAAAAAGTCAACTGTTGATTTCAGCATATAAGAAGAGTTTAATCGGTGACTCAGCTAACGATTCTATTTATAGATTAACAATGACATAAGTTCACGAATCGATCACAATATATCTGAGAGTTGTATTTCTCTTACGAATTCATATCAAGAAGTTGGCATTGCCATTAATTTTTGCCTTGTTTCAAAATCTTTTCGATTATCATTCATCGATCGTCGCCATGCCTTAGCTGACACTCAATGGTTGAGCGAGGGCTGGCGTGGATGAAAAATGTCTTTCTGCAAAATGAGTCAAACCTATGCAAGAAAACCATGTATGCAAACTGTTGATAGAAACCATAAATCGAAAGATGCAATAAGCACGAGTAGTTTATTCAAGAATATTTACGAAAAAGAAAGGAATCATAAATGAAATCGGAATGAAATCAACTTGAGTATGAAAATCTCAGATAATTCATTCTAAAGCTCAGTGCCCAAATGCCTAGTATTCAATGTTTTGAATGACGCTGCCAATGACAAGAAGAACGAATAACAGTCCGATCGAACTCGCAACAACAATCCCTGAATTACATAGGTCGGTCGTACAGCATGTGGTTCGGGCACCAGTTCCAGCGACGACGAAATCAGTTTCGAAGCAACTAGTTGTGACATCACGACTTGTTGTAACTACTTTGCCAGCAGCCAACGTAATCATTTTCTGAAAATGATTAAAGAAAGGAATTTATGGTATTGAATAGACATGAAAACTATCAATATTCACCCGACATGAGTATCCTGCGTCGTTTGCTATAACTGTCGTTGGTGTGTTACTGTCGACAGTGTCACAGAACCCACAGGAGTAACACGTTAGACCAAAAGCTACTTGTTGCAAGGCTAAAAGAAAGACGATTGAATTGTTTGTCTTTTAACAGTTTTCTCATCAATTTAAATAACTAATGCAATGCGCCTACCTAAGAAAATGATGCAACAGAAACCGACATAGCGAAATGATGGAGTCATTTGTAGGAGATGATTAATGGTGAAGCAGGGAGTCACTTTTACAACTCTATGTCGACTAATGATTGTAGAAGAGCCGAGCGATAGCTTTTATATTCTTTTTTTTTCCTGTCCTGCATACAAGTGTTTTTTCAAATGAAAAAGGTGAAATGAGAAAAAGCTAGTCTTAACGACAATTTTGGACGCTTTTATCCAGAATAACGTTCTCTCTTTATGAAGACACAACGTCATTAATGTAGATTCTCGTATATTGAATATCAATTTGTTTTGAACTTAACTCTTCTAGCATAAATTATGCATTTATGACTTTTTCCACTTTGTGAACACAACGCAGCTGCCTATATAACCAAGATCCCCAGTCAAACACATGTATTTGCAGAGAACTTTCAGAAAGTCGCCTTTACTTAGAGAATGTTTTTCAAGTCAATGTATCTTATACATGAAGATGCAAACTATTTGAAATATTTACAATTGTTGTGCATAAGTGCAAGAGAATAGTACATGAAAAGACTTGCATGTCGCCAACACGTCCATGGAAATAATTTTTTTTTAAAGTTTTCAAGAAAAATTTGCGAGACTGCACATGACTCTTGTCATTGCAAATAGCTATGTGGGACACTCTAGCGTGCTTCTGCAAGATATATGACTCGAATGTGAGGCCTGTCAAAGATTCTGAAATTGCTCACTTTAACCAACGTCTGCTAGTGAATAGAAGGACTTTGCTAGTCAGTCAAAAGAACACCAAATTTATGCCACACTAATAGTGAACCCAACTTTTCTAATTTTCAGCAGATTTTAAGTGGATTTTACTATCGTCAGGCGGCACTTTTCTGTGAACACAAGGATTTTTCTCTTTCCAATGGACTACGATTATTTTTCGTTAAGACAGCTAATATAGATTAACGTTTCTGAGTTTATCTAGGATCTTCCTATATGAAGAAAATTAGACTTTCTTTAAATGAGATAATCTTTGTGGATATTTTAAGTATATTTAGTGCACAATATAAAAAGAAACAACAAACAAATACTTGAATAAACAAAATAGATAAAAGTAAAAACCATCTAATCATCATCAATATTCATTTCTTGTCGTCGAAAAAGTTCTCGATAAATTCTATGTTCAATTGTCATCAATTCATTACGTGTATCTTGTTCAATGAAATGTGTTTTGTGTATGACAAATATTTTATCAAGTCGTTCGAGTGTACTTAATCGATATGCTAATATAGGTA